CATTAATGGCTGCACTTGGACTTCATATATAAGGGAAATTTGAAGAAATGTGGAATACATATAAAAATTGCATGAACTGCACAGATAAGTACTAGAGATCTTACAGACAGTGCAAGGCAGGGAACACTTTTTAAAGTTATTATGCAGCTGAAGTGTATAACAGGACTATATAAACATGATTCATTAAACTCACCTATCAAAGTAAGGTGACTTCCTCATCCAGGTTAACTTAATAATAGTATGAAGGCGTTGCATAACCTGCAATATGACGAACAAAGATTTAAGCATTCGCCAAAATTGTTACCATCAAGAAGGTGAGTGAATCTATTTTCGAAATACTTCTGAACAAGAACTTAATAGTGGTCAACTCATTTTAATATTCACATTCGCAACGTATTGCAACAAGACTAAAACTTCAACTAGTATTGTTGCACGCGCAAATGCACGTACAACCGACACTGAAACTTAATTATTCTAATTTTAATGTAAAAAATGGTTGTTTTAATACCCTAAACCATCATTGACATTTCTATGATCTTTTGTTATTCTACCTTTCCTTATTTCAAATTGGCTATGACATATATTTTCAATTTGAGTAATAACGTAATTTTCCTAGATATGCCACTTAACTTTTTCATTCATATTCCATCTTCAGATTATTTTATTTAATTACTTTTAAGCTGAGTATTTAAATATACACTTTCGATAATATTTACATCTGAATATATTAACATTCTAATTGTTGTCTTTATTTTATATTCATTTACATGGAAAAGAACTTTATCATTTCATATTTATATATTCTTATAATATATAATGTAATAGATATTTAATTAGCAATCTCCATGATATGCTTTAGAAAGTTCTAGAAATAAGGAAAGAGAAAAGGAAAGAAAAGAAATTTTGTGTGTAATGACCAAATTGTCCTCGTGTCTTTAATGAGATGCAGGACAATTTTGCCATGTCCTTCAACCTTTTCCTAACATCGCTAAGTCTTAATACAAGTAGTATAGATAGTGGTCCCCAACAAAATAACAACATGCTCGTCTACTCCAAAAATTTCAGAGGTATACCGTAATTCCTCACCAGAAGAACTTCTGCATTAATCAATCACAATGAAACCCCATAGGAAGTATCCATGCTAATATCATAAACAATACACAGAGTGATTTATGACTAAAACTAAACTTCTGCATAAAGACATGACAATTCCTTGCAGACACGGTAATTCCTTACCAGTAGAACTGTTTGATTATCATCAACATGCATCCACTGAAAGAAAAGTGAAAATATACGGCAGAAATGTGCTAGTAAGACAAGCCCCATTGCATTGAAAACTGGCTCAATGAGTAGAAGCCATGCTGTACGTCTCTCCTTATTAAATGGTTGACGCTCCAAATGACTTAACATCTCGCTCAAAATTCGCTCGAACCTATAAAATTTACCAAAGTAAGATTTTGTAAAAATGCTATTTCCCGTAAGTCATGGATTGATAGAAACAGCAGTCTGTAAAGAGGACCAGATAAATGAATTTTAAAAAAAAAAATTGTACTAATCCATTCATTGATACATGGGATGGTTGGAAGTAAAACATCAGACAATTAACTGATAATAAATGTAATGAGACCTTCACAGCATTCACTCCAACATCTTCAACATATTGACTTGTCACGATACAGTTGTTATATTTATACGAGTGCAATATTGATGTTTCTAAAGCTTTAACTTTGCAGATGATTTCAAACTTGTTTCTGAAAAAGGAAACAAGGGAGGAAACAGCAAGATATGAAAAGGTAAGAGCACGTACCAGGAGCTACGAGGATTTCTTTGTTGGGTACATGTCAATAAAAGGACAGACATCTCAACTACTCTTTGCCATAGCTCATCACTTGAAGCAATGTTCCGACAACATGCATCAAGGATCGGTTCTTCATACCAAGACAATTCAGTAGCATTCACATTATTCGCTAGATGTATAAAACTAACCATTCCTTGCTCCTGAAAATGAAAAGAATAGTTATTTAGTCAGTGTTCAGCTGCACTGACAAAGCAGAATAACACCCAAAAGGGCCAAAGGACTGCAGAATATTGAACTGTTATATGACTACCTGGACAAGGTTACATTCAGTAACACGAATATCGAATCAGTTCCAAGTTTTGTGTTAATTGCACATAAACTACTTGTACTGTTGACCAATGCTACTTATCGCTCCCTAACTGGAGACACTTGAAAACCTCCAGCTTTTAGGAGAGATAACTCTCCACATAATTTCTTCCATGATTACCTTTCACCCTTCTTCATAGTTCATACTAAAGGGTCACCTTCTCTCTACACGTTCCTTCCCCACCAAAAAAAAACCCCCCCCGCAGGTAGTCTATGGCCATGCTGACCGATCCAACAATGCTGACGGCATGCTGACCTACAATAAGCAGGATTTCTTCCTAATGATGCCGACATGGCGAACAGCCTATCAGGTTTAACAAGGAGCTCTGGCTTTTGCCCATATTTTCCTTGGTAAAGAATTTGACACTGACAACTGAAGATGATACTAACACGAGGCGTTCAAGATCATTGGACTACTTGCACTTCACCAATCCGATTAAATTTAATTCTCTCCGTCAGCAGTCTGGTTAAATGGGTTATGAATTATCCTATTATCAAGGAGGCCAAGTATAGGTCAATCCATCCAATAAATAATCAAGTCGCCTTTGCATTAGATGTGTATGGATCCATTTGAACCCTACCTACCTACGCCCACTTAATCCAACCCTCATTCCCACCCTTAGTTTGTGATACGTGTAATAGAAACACTTCAATATAACATCCTATGTAACTATCAAGAGCTAACTATCAATGAGCTACCAATTATTACCAACAAAATCACGAATGACATGAGCTCTAACGACTGACTCTTATGTGCTTCAACGTAAAAAAATAATAATAACATTTGCTTTTCTACAGAGCATATACCCAAGTATTACATAAATACCATGAAGCACTATCCATCCTTACCTTCACTTCAGGCGACCAGTGATCCAACGCCGTCAGCGCACACGGAA